CAGGAAGCATTTCAGGATTCTGCAGATGAAATCAAATTTGGAAAAGACAGATTTTGGGGTATAAGGCAAAGTATTTTACATTGTACTTCTAAATATTCTTCAAACTATAGTTGTAAACAAACGGTAATATTAAGACATGACACTGGGGCATAGGCTGCTATAAAGGACAAGTTACTGTTAACAAATTTATCCCATTTTGAAGGCACTGCCAAGAATTTGTAGTACATACAAAGTTTGACACAGCTTTGGACCTGAATGTTTGATACAGCCATAGTTAGGTTATAAGTGTATGGAACTTGCTCTATGGATCTCCAAAGTGTGGGAATTTTCACTCCAAGTCCTCCAACTGTGAATTCCCTTAATATTTGACTACAGCTGGCCGAAATATTTTTGGTCTGAGGCATCAACCAGTTTTTTAGAATAGTGGTGCTGTGTATTTCTGATTTAGCTGTGCCTTATTGTTTTTAATTCATCACAACCTGTTTCTGAATTATTTAATAAGAAGGGAGTTAGCGGTTTTTAACAAATAAATGCTACCAAATATCCTAAATAGATGAAAACTGGAAAGGAGAATAAACCTAGATTAATGTTACATGCCTGAAAATTCTACCCTTTTGGAGATTTGGACGCACATAAAACTGCAACAGAAACAAACTAAAGGAATCTTTAAAATACATAATTATATAACCTACTTACTTGCGCCATGTTTCTTCAGGAGAAATAGATACCACAACGTCAACCGGTAATGTCATGCTAATGTAGTGATGCTCTTTGCTTTCTTTTTCAATTACTGGAGCCAAAGGCTCTAATGAGGTTGTAATTTCCAACATGAGATCAATATTTACTATTGATGGCTGAAAATAAAGATGACTTTAATATACAAATTATAATCTAAATTACTCCAAAGATTCTGTTTCCCCTATCAGATAAAGTCACATTGTGGAAAAATGTTAAATCAGAAAAGTGGCAGACAGGGAATCCCAACACTTTCCCTAGAATCAATTTCCAATAAAATTAAATAACTCAATATTGATTCTAAGAGAAAAGGACTAAATATATTATATAAAAGCTGCAGTGGCACAGTGGTTAGAGTACAGTACTGCAGGCTACTTCTGCTGCCTGCTGGCTGCCTGCAATTTGGCAGTTCAAATCTCACCAGGCTCAAGATTGACTCAGCCTTCCACCCTTCCAAGGTGGGTAAAATGAGGACCCAAATTGTTGGGGGCAATATGTGAACTCCGTAAACTGCTTAGAGAGGGCTGTAAAGCACTGTAAGTCTAAGTGCTTATTGCTATTTTTCACAAATACTTGCCTAATTCTTCACATTTCACAGAAAAGTACACACCGCTATACGTACCATCTCTCGTAACTTTTTATCTTTCTTTTTTGAAAATCTCTGCTTGGTGCCCTCTTGTTCAAATCTGGAAAACAGTGCCAGAATGATTGTATCATGACAAATTATTATACCATCTACAGTACATCTCCACCCACAAAATCATTATTTTTGTCTAGCCATACTCACTGAATAAACTGTAGTATCTCCTTGCAGGCAGAGTCATCTGAAAGCTCAGTTGCCATGGAATTCATTCCACTGTTTGGCCACAAATATACTGAGCTATGACAAATCCTGAATACCAGCATGTCAGAAGCCAGTTTAGCTGAAAGATCCTTGAAAATGTATTTGAGTGCCTCTTTTGTGGATGAGTCTGAAAGAAAGAAAGAAAGAAAGAAAGAAAGAAAGAAAGAAAGAAAGAA